CAAGAATTCTAGTTATGAGACATGCTGAAATGTGATAGCAAAAGTGTGATTGAGAATATGCAGTAATCATGGTATGTAAATTATAGTTTAAAGGATATCCATACCACACCAAGCATTTAATAAGCTTTATTAATAAGTAGATGGTCAAGGAGGGCTTGTTAAAACATGGAATGCTGGGTCCTGCTCCCTTTCCTCTTCAGCAGGTCTGTTGTGGAGCTCAAAGATTTTGCATTTCTAACAAACTCCTTGGTGATGCTGATACTACGGTCCAGGGGCCTTACTTTGAGAACTACTGTTCTAGGGCAATTTCATATGAACTAGTCCTTTCCTTTTGAATGATTTCATCTATTCAATCTTTTTTAGAATTGTAGAATATGAACAGATCTTGGAGGTAATGCTCTATCCTGATTACCAATGGAGAGGTACTTCCATGGCACTGTTAGCTGATCCTTCAGATGGTGTTTGAACACGGTCAGTGACAGGAACTCACCGTTTCACAATTCCTTTAGACACTCTAGTTCAGATAGCCAGCCATGTGGCCCCGTTTTACCCTTTGGAAAAAAGAGAACCACTCTACTCCCTCTTCTACATCATGGCCCTTTACCTTAAGGCAGCACTTTGTTTCCTGTAGCTCTCCTGGGTTCAGGGCAATCTATATGAGGGGGGAAGAAAATGAGTTCCCATTTACACGATGGAGTCACTCATATAACTAACAGCATTTTGATGCCACCATGACAAGCATGGTTGATGAATCTTCATGCATCATTTGTGGTAGAGAAAATTTAGACCATCTCTTTGTGTGCAATTTTGTGTATGAACCTACCATTTATGTTTATTTTTTATTACATGAAGTTATATTTACAGACAACTGGAAAGCATTTTTTAAAAAGAAGAAAAAGTCACCTAGAAGAGCACTATTGCAAACATGTAGGTTTACATCCATAAGCAGGATTTCCTAGAAGCAGATTCTTACTGTAAATATACACATGGTATACTTGAAAACAATAAATCTGTTTACACATCTGGTTTTGTCTGGACCATACTACCTATTCTCCCCCACACCTGCCCTCCATTGGCCTGGTGAATTAATCTGTCAAGACTCCGCATCATTCTAGTTATTGTCATTTCTGATTCCACAGAGATAGAACTAAGCTCATTATCCCCCACCCTCTGGGTCTCCACTGTGCCCTGTACACTTTTCCACAGAACACTTACAACACATTACACTTGTTTATAGGTTTTATGTACTGTTTAATTTTAATTTCTTTGAGGATTGGAACTGGGTTTTTACTATCTTTAAAAAAAATATATCCAATATTCAGAACAGGTCCTTAATTAGTACTTATTTAGTGACTAAAATTCCCCATGTTATTATAATTGTCCTAAACATATTTAATATCTCCTTTATAATTCAGAACACTGACATAACAATTTACTTAATCATTCCCTAATTACTAGATATTTAGGGTGTTTTAAAATTTTCATTATGCCAAAAAAAAGATTTGTTTAAACTTTGGTTAAAATTATTTTGCCAGGCTGCGGTGGCTCAGTGGATTGAGCCATCATCCCATGGATCAAGAAGACCCAAGTTCAATTCCCAGTCAGGGCACATGCCCAGGTTGTGGCCTCAATGCCAGTAGGGCAGCCGGAGGCAGCCAATCAATGAGTCTCTCTCATCATTGATGTCTCTCTCTCTCTCTCTCCCTCTCCCTTTCTTTCTGAAATCAATAAAAATATTAAAAACAAACAAAAAACATTCATTTGCTGGTGGGGGGAAGAGGCCCAAGGTAATGAAATAAATACCAGCTGCAAATACTAGTTGTTGGTAAAGTATTAAGCTCATCCCTTGTATCTGAAATAACAAAGAGAATTATCAAATAAACCTATGGGATACAAAACAAATCTCTGCAACCCACGTCATTCCTTTATGTACTATGTGAAATCCTCCAAATTTCATGAGGGAGATAAGCCTTTATTCAAAAGGAAACTTTAAAGGTTGCATACAAAGGCAGATGAAGTGTGTGTAAGAAGTATATTCTAACCTGATATCATATCACTGTTAAAAGGGAACTGATAAAAAGGCAATAACTGACTTTGTACACACAGCCTAAAGTCAGTGAATGTGTAACAAGATCAATCACTTTCCTGGTAGGCATGACTATCTTCTGTTTTACAACTAAACTATAATGAACAAAGAAACAAAATAAAGCTTACTAATTGCCTGATCACTTTCCACCATTTAATGCAGCAGCCAATTCAAATCTGCTACATAATTGATTCCAGTTATAAACCTAGCAGTGTCTGCTCTACTTAAGTATTTTTTTTTTGGTGAGATTTTTCTTTTTTTGGGGGGGCGGGGGAGAAATCTGCTAGTTGCAACAATATCTTACATGAAGGGATTGTTAGATATAATAGAAAAGGAAATTATAAAAGAGATACCCACTTCATGTATCATGAAATTGTGTTAGCTCTGTATTGCAGTTCTAAATCCTACTTGATACACTTGCCAAATCCCTTTAGACCACCATTACTTTATCTGTAAAATGTAGTGATTTTATTACATTAATTTCTGCGTCATTTCAAGCCAAAGAACTGGAGTTGACATAAATGTATGCTGTTCATAGGATTTCCTAATGGAATTTTCTTAGGGAATTTTAAATAATGCTCTCTGTAAAATATTTTATAATGCAAATAATCTTCAGGCAAGGTGAAAAGGTTTCAGACCTCCTCCTTTCCCCAACAATGTTCTTAAGTCCTGTAAGGGTAATCTTCAAGCTTTCTGAGGCATGCCCTCTCCACCTCCAAGTATCTGGCACGATGTCTTTGCTCACAACACACATTTCAAAGGACAACTCCAGAAAAGCACAACCATGAAATGAAAGCTCATAAGGAGCACGGGAGTGGAGGTATGGTGAGAGGGACAAGGATACTGAGGTGGGAGGAGGAAATGCAGACTAAGGTGTAAAAAGAAGAAATCTTAAAACTAGGAATAAACCGGGCTCAGCATTAAGTCCTAGTTAATTCATCAAAGGAGCTCTTTCTTAGAACCTAGCACGTAATAGGTTTTCATTTAAGACCAAAGAGAACACAGACATCAAGCCCAGTTGAGAGTAGAACAGGATTACCCTCCAATATTTCATCTCATAATACAGCTTAGTGTTTTTGTACCGAGACTCTGGGTTCAAACCGGTTCTGTGGGTTATGTTTCGCCGCCACACTCTTCTCATCTGTAAAATGGGGCAACAGGGCTAATTTCCGGATTAAAGGAGTTAATATATGCAAAGAACTTCGAACAGTGTCATTTTTTTTCTTAGTGCATGTCGTTTGATTTCCTTAATAAAATCTCTTGAAGACACGGTGCTAACTCCTGATTCCTTAGCACCGCTCATGACATAAAACAAAGGAATCGACAAAGCGCGCTAGGAAACCGTCGCCCCGGAGACTGATGTGGAAAGCGGCGAAGGCGGAGGGAGGCAGGGACTCCGCGCCCCCGGCCCACACGCGCGGCCGCCACTTCGTCAACCAGAGCAAAGTCCTCTGGGAAGTGTAGTCTTCAGGCCTCGAGAGGGATTTCAGCCGGGGGCCCAAGCGATTGAGTTGCTGGGGCGGGGAGGGAGTCGTCGTTATCGGATAATTCAAAAGTGTCGGTAGCCCAAGAGGTGGGTTTAAGCCGCTCACCTGAGTCTCCCAACACCAGTACCTTCACCCGATCCAGGGACGCCATCTTGCCACTGCCTTCCGGGGTCACCCCCCCGGTTCCTGGTTTTTAAGCCAATCAGAGCTGGGCACGGGGGGGGGGCGGAACTTTCGGTGCCATTGGCCAATCCGTGCGCGGCTCTCCCCACGGACGGCTTCGCTACGCTGATTGGCCGGCCAGGTTAAAAGTAGCGGGTGGTTCCCTCCCGGGCTGGTCGCAGGAATAAGGCGTTGTCTTTGTCGCACGAATGGCGAGGCTCGTGGGAGCCGGTAGTTGAGGCGCAGAGGGGACGCGGTAGTGCCAGTGTTCGAGGATTCGCCTGGGTAAACCTTGTTCCCTGTTCCTTGTTCTGGGCTGCCTGGCCCGGAGTCGTGGTTCAGGCTTTCTCCTTCTCGCTCCTTTCTTAGCGACTCTCCTCCTCTCTAAGCGGTTCTCCAGAGAGCCATGGAGCCCGGGGCGGCCCGGGTGCGACCTCGGGCGGGACCCTGGGCTCCACCGAGGGTGGCCCTGCGCCCGGCTCGGCAGGGTCCGAGGGGATGGAGGGTCGCGCAAGTGTGGGGAGGAGTGACCACGACAGAACCGGGCTCGTGGAGGGCAACTGGGTCCAGCCCGAGGTTTCGCGGTGGTAATGCAGCTTGCTTATGTAGGAAGACCCTGAAATATGGTAACTGGAAAAAAAACAAAAAAAAGCCTGCAGTTAAATGTATAAGATTCAAATGAATATAGAACTGGCATAGTAGTATACTGAAATAATCGACTGGATGAATAAATTGCATCCTTCCTCCCCCGCATCCTCTTCTCTTACCCTGGGCGTAATCTTTTAAAATTGCAGATTTGATCCTGTTGCTTCCTGCTTAAAGCCATTCGAAGTTTAAGAAGAGGGATTCCAATAGCCTGTCTTTTTTCCTACTCTGGAAGCAGCAGTGGAGGGAGTAAAACTGCGGGGACGTTGGCCGGAGGGGCATGTGGGGAGAACACGTGCTCAGGGAAGCTGCTGAAAGTTTTATGGCAGCACGGGCCCAGCCGCGCTGGGTTTGGGAAAGGCAGTGGTGGTGGACATGATGTCCCTGTCCTCAGGTAGAGAGGAGAGTACAAGTCTGTTCACTGCAAGGAGGAAGGTTGGGAGAGAACCTTGGGAAATGGGCTGGATCATGCTAAGCTGTTAAGGAGGAATCTGGGAAGGTCTGTGAGTAAATGCCTTTGGAGATGTGAAAGGATGATTAGAAGGGAGTTGGGGCCGAGAGTACAGAATGTGCACGTGGGGAGGGGAAGGCTTACGTGGCTGATGGAATTGAGAGCGTGCTGATGTGGCTGGAGATTAGAATGACAGGGATAATAGACAGTGCAGAGAACTCATTCATTTCAATTTCGTTCCTCCAACGATGTGCCTGATGCAGTGTAGTTCTCCAATGTTTGTATGCCTATAAGACATGTGATTCAAAGACAAGATCTTTGGGGGATCTGTGCTGGGTAGGGAGGTAAGTGAGACTGGGAGGGAATGAGGGACTGAGACTCTGAAGCAAAAAAGAAGAGAAAAAAGGGGTTGCCCTGAGAGGTTACAAACTTAAAAATTTCCAGAGACCAGCCCGCCTCTCTCCCCGTTTAAAAGTGACAGCTGCTTTTCACCCCCTCCCCCCACCCTTCCCAATATGGGAACCTGCTCTCACTTTTCCTCAGATATTTCTAGTTTTTATGAGGAGCTGAAAGTTGAGATTCGTGTGAAATCCCACTATGTTTCATGTTGGCAACTAACTCATATGGACATTTTCAGGACATTCGTTTGGTCAAACAATGTGGTAGAGGCTGCCAGTTTGGTATCTCTGACCTAAATAATTGAAGAAATCCAGAGATTGAGTAGGAGATTTAGCATATGTGGGGAAGTAGAAGTGATAAAGAAGAGAAGGCAGTGGTCAGGAAGGACAATTTTAGAATGGAGAAATTTCAAGCTCGGTGGCTTGATTTCTTTCCTGAGCTATCTGCTGGACATCTTCACAGGAATATTCTGTAGTATTTCCTCAAAAAGAAGCAACTAAAAGTTAATGCCTCATTACTTTCAAACCTGTTCCTCTTCAGTGTTAGCCTATTTTTCTCATAGTGGTACTTTTCTTGGTTACATTGGCCTAAAACAAATAGCTACATCTTATTATATTAATAACATTTTTGTTTAATGGTTATAGCATTTCAGTTTTATAAGATGAAAAGAGTTACGGAGATGGATGGCAGTGATAGTTATACCATGTTATGAATGTATTTAATACCACTAAACTGTATTCTTAGAAATGGTTAATTGGTAAATTTTGTTATGTGTATTTTACCATAATAAAACATTTATTTAAAAAATAAATATTTATTTGGTTAAAAAAACAAATAATTACTTAAAAATTTTCTACTTTTTTATTTCATTTCCAGTATATTATTGGGCCCATTTGATTTTGTTTCTGACAAGTAGAATTATCTAGGGAGCATTGTGTTCTCTTGCAGTTGTTTGCTCTCTTTCTTCAGGTTTGATTACTATAGCTCCTAATATTTCCACAGTACTTCCATCTTCACTAACCTCGATCCATTCTTCATATTGTTGTAAAGTCACTTTTCTAAAAAGGAGTTCTTGGTCTGAATACCAATAATGGAACTCTTATGATGCCAACTCTGTAAGCAGCATATTTTTCGTGGATTATCTTATTTAATCCATGCATCTACTCTATGAGGAAGGAACTGTTAGTAATCACTTTTTATGCATGAGGAAACAGAATTTTCAGGGCCACGGGATAAGAAATGGTGGAACCTGGGATTTCAAAACCCAAAACTATTGGACCGTGGAGTCCTCATGTCACTCCCTTGCTCTAATTGTCAGGACCCCCTACGTTGTTTCAGGCAGTGGAAACAGGCTAAGTGAGTAGCAGAGGGTCCTCAATGTATGATGTGTGTTGGCATAACATGTAATAGCCAGTCACTAGGTTTGTCTGGAGCAGGAGTCAGGGACTTTTTCTGCTTATTGGAGTCGCCTAAAGAGCTTTTAAAATATGATGCCTAATCTGATCCTCCCAGACCAGCTGAAACAGAATCTCTGGGAATGGGGTCCACGTGGGTACTTTTAAATGCTTCCTAAATGGTTCTACTTTACAGCCAGGGTTGAGAACCATTGATTCCAGAATATGGAATGTATGTTGTGGGAGGTCAGGGAGGGGAAATAATGTTGGAAAAGTAGGCTGATTTGACATTTGTCTGCCATTCTTTGGTCTGTTGGATGTTTCTGAAGCCATATTTTGTGTTCTGCCAATCATTAAGCATATAAAAAACACAAAAACAGATACACTGTTCAAGTACAGTGTATCAACCAAATTGGAAAGGAGAACAAAATGCATCTGATAACATGCTATAAATACTTTGGTGTTCAACCCAGGCACTTGCTTGGCTCACTTGATCCTTGGGATAGATAACAGGAAGGTGGTAGGACCACAGGTTTGGGTCTAGGTGCTACACTGTTATCTCAGTCATGCCTGAGTGTTTACAATATGAAATATACATTTAATTGTAACTAACTTTCCTTTTATTTTTTTCTTTATTGCATGTAGGGCATTATACCCTCCCCCCCATGTGTATAGATTGGTTATTTAAGAATATCTTTTTAGAATAATGTTGTGAATATAAAAATATTTCTTATGAAATGAGATATTAAATCTGATAGTATTGATAGCCACTGATTTAAAATAAAAGAGGCCCCTCCCACCGCCTCCTCGAGGGGCTGAGGCCGGGCAGGCGCGCTGCTCTCGCTAATTTAAAATAAAAGATTCTATTATTTTAAAATAATAGAAAGTGGTGTTAATAATTTTTATAATAATTGTTTTTGAAATAATTCAATGGGATGTCTCTTAAAAATTTCCCTATGGTATAGGGATTTCATTTGACAGTATGTCTGAATAGCCTGATCATTTTTACTTTGGGACATATTAAATCTATATGGAAGCTATTTTTTTAATATCTTTTTATTTATTCCACCCCCCCCCCCCCCCGAAACATCAATGTACATCAGTTGGTTGCCTCCTCTACCCACTCTGACCAGGGATCTACCAGGGAACAGTCCGCAACCTGGTCTGTGCGCTGACTGGAAATCAAACCAGCAGCCTTTTGGTGCATGGGACAATGATCAACCAACTGAGCCACCCACACAAGGGCGATATGGGAGCTATTCTTATTAATAAGTGCTTCCTACGCACATTCCTTACATTCTCATTTATTCATCACAACAACCTTATCGAGATAGTTGATATTGTTATTTTACTAAGAGAATATAGTATGGCTTGTGGTGGTTTAAGCTAAAACACAGGTTGTCCAACTCTGACTTCCAAAGCCCATCCTTTAAAACAATCACATGAAAGTCTAGCCAATACTGTTTTGGGCTTCAAAAAGAAAACTTTCTGAGTCAAGATATAAGAATTGGGTACAATTGTGTTGCAAGGGGGGCCAGTATTTAAGATACCTTGAGTTTGTTTGCTTTTTAAGAACTATATGGTATTTGGTCATCAGATTTGTTAACAAGGTTGGTAAAGCTATCTAAATCTAAGTGTTAATTTCTTTCATATTTATAGTAGAATTTTGCTAAGTACCCCAGTTGGTGATTACTTATGATGTGTTTTTTGGTTGTTGTGATTTTAATGTGAAAGTATGACTAAGTAAAACATTCTAGAATCTATCCTGAGAGAAATTTTTTTAAATTATATTTTTAAACTCTTACCTAAGCATATGTTTTTATTGATCTTAGACAGATTGGTTTTAGACAGAGAGGGAAGGAGAGAGAGAGGAAAAAAAAAATAATGTGAGTACTGATTGGAAGCTTCCTGTACCATCAACCAGGGATCTATCAGGGAACAAACCTACAATCTGGGTATGTGCCCCGCCTGGGAATTGAACCTGTGGCCCTTTGGTGCACAGGACAGTGCTCCAACCAACTCGGTCATACTAGCCAGGGCTATTTTGGTAGAAAAGTTTTACTCAAGAAATAAAGGCACTTTAAGGATATGCTAATTGCTAGGCTTCTTGGGGAGGGGGTATTCAGCATTTCCAAAGATCTGTAGCAGTGATTTTCAAATTGGAATACTGTCAGAGGCACACTGTTGTGCCACAAGAATTTTTAAAGCATGGAATACCTGGCTATTTAAAAGAGTCAGGGGCACTGAGTTCTTTTCCCTTAGATTGTCAAATGAAAATATAGCAACCAATGCAACATAACTGTTCAGTGTGAATGTATCAAAATTATACCTTATTTTCTTTTTGTCATATTGGCAAAAAATATGTATTTTTTTTGGTGTGCCATGGAAGTTAGAAGTTAGTTTATATGGGCCATGAGATAAAAGGGGTTGAAAATCGCTGATTTATATAGCATTAAGACTAATAAGACTTCATTTAATTTTTTTGTGTTTCTCTTACTGAAATAAAATGGGCTTGATATGTATCATTGCTATAAATTATGTTAATTTTTAAAATCAAGCACACTGTGTAGATCATGAAAATAATCATTTAAGAAATATGCCAAGCTTTTTAGATGTAATCTTTTGTATACTCAGAGGAACATCTTGTTCTCTGTTAAATGCTTTGGCATTATAAGTCTTATAAAACAATGTTTTAGTGACTTTATGGCACTCCAAAAGTAGTGATAGCTAACTAATGGGTTGATAATTCTAGATTTAAAATGATTACTGTGTCCTCATTGTGCCTATGTAATCTTTTTTTTTCTCTCCTGAATTCAGTACATTTAAAGTTGAAGTTTGCCGCTAAAGATGGCAGACCCAGATGTCCTCACCGAGGTTCCTGCATCATTGAAGAGGTTAGCCAAGTATGTGATCCGGGGTTTCTATGGCATTGAGCATGCTTTGGCCTTGGACATCTTGATCCGGAACCCTTGTGTGAAAGAGGAGGATATGTTGGAGCTGCTCAAGTTTGATCGGAAGCAACTTCGTTCAGTTTTGAATAATTTAAAGGGAGACAAGTTCATCAAATGCAGAATGAGAGTAGAGACTGCTGCAGATGGGAAAACCACTCGCCATAACTACTACTTTATCAATTATCGTACTCTTGTTAATGTGGTTAAATATAAATTGGACCACATGAGAAGGAGGATTGAAACTGATGAGAGAGATTCCACCAACCGGGCTTCCTTCAAATGTCCTGTTTGTTCTAATACTTTTACAGATTTAGAAGCTAATCAGCTCTTTGATCCCATGACAGGTGAGACTTTTCCAGCTTATGAATCTTTAAAGTAACTTTTAAAAATAAAATATGTATTCTTTTTCTTAAATTGATTTATCTAATTTTTAAACCAATCATATATCTATATTAATAAAAGGGCAATATGCTAATTAGACTAGACATCTTTCAGACATCCTTCCAGACAAAGCCATGGTGGCGGGGGCTGTGGGAGAGGCATTTGGGGTGATCAGGCCAGCAGGGGAGGGCAGTTAGGGGGGTCAGGCCAGCAGGCAGAGGTTGTTAGGGGCAATCAGGCAGGCAGGCAGGCAAGCAAGCAAGCAAGCAAGCAATCGGTTAGGAGCCAGTGGTCCCAGATTGTGAGAGGGATCCTGGATTGGAGAGGATGCAGGCCAGGCTGAGGGACCTCCCCTCCCATGCATGAATTGCATGCACCGGGCCTCTGGTATGATTATAAAAGTGAGTGGATTGGTATTAATCACTATATGGTCTGTCTTAGTCTTACTGCCCTGCTTGACTGTTATTCTTTTAGAAACCCTTGTAAAGCCTTTCTCCTTCACAAAGGAGTGTACTCTTCCACCCATGGCTATCCTACCTCTGTTCCCACCTCCACCTCTTATTTATAGGTACAGCTCAATCTGAACGATTGACTTCTCTATCACTTGAAGACTATTCTGACAGTTCCACTTTTGACCTCTTCATTCAGTAAATATTTGAGCACCTATTTATGCGAGTCACTGACAGACAGTCACAGTACAGTGCATATAAATGCTATGTTAGTGGAAGTGTGAAGTGCTATCAGGAGTATATAATAGGGCTTCTAATTGGAATAGCGTCTGAAAGAGTGTAAGTAACAGCTGAGACTTAAAGAGTCAGCAAGATGCAATAAGCAGGGCATCCTTTCCTTCAAATGGATGGATATTTAATCTTTTAGGCATTAGTCAGTGGAAGAAAACTGTCAACAGATATTTAATTTGCTTCATTTAAATACTTTAGTTAAGGATCTTTTTAATTATCCAGAATTTACAAAACACATTTTCAAAAAGTGCAGTATATCTAGCATTAACATGAAAAACTTTAAAGTGCTGGGTTGTATAGTTGTTTTGTCTTATCATTTGTAAACAGGTAAAGAGACTATAGTTTTGCTAATTACTCAGTGGACAGTTTGGTCTTACTTTCAAGATGTAAAAATAAATGGAAGAGATTATCCCTTTGTTATGGCTGAATTCAGGACTATAGGTGACTTTTAAAAAATTCCTACCCCTTACTGGTTTGGCTCAGTGGATAGAGCGGCGGCCTGTGGGACTGAAGGGTCCCAGGTTCGATTCCAGTCAAGGGCATGTATCTTGGTTGCAGGCACATCCCCAGTGGAGGGTGTGCAGGAGGCAACTATTCTAGGTCTCTCTCTCATCGATGTTTCTAACTCTCTATCCCTCTCCCTTCCTCTCAGTAAAAAATCAATAAAATATGTATTTAAAAAAAAATCTTAAATCTGCCTTTGAAAAAACTATCAAAAATGTAATTTAAACTTTTACATGTGAAATTTTTATTGTAAAAAAATTACAGATTTGTCTGGCTGGCTTGGCCCAGTGGTTGAGCATCAACCCAAGAACCAGGATATCATGGTTCCATTCCCTGTCAGGGCACCTGCCTGGGTTCTGGGCTCGATGCCCAGTAAGGGGACAAGCAGGAGGCAGCCAATCAATGATTCTCTCTCATCATTGATGTTTCTATCTCTCCCTCTCCTTTCTGAAATCAATAAAAATATATTTTTAAAAAATTACAGATTTTTGTGCATGTTTAATTTTCTATTTTTTGTACATGTTACATATTGTACACTTAATTTTTTTAAAATGAGAAATAATCCAATATCAGTTAAGATTTTAACAAAAAGAGCTAGCTTAGGACTTCATCTCCCCTTACTTACCGTATTTTTCGGGCCATAAGACGCACTTTTCCCCCCCCCAGAAGTGGGGGGAAAAAGTCCCTGCGTCTTATGGTCCAAATATAGCCTACACATATACTTTAAAAAAAAAGTTTTTTTACTTGCCCGGCTCTGTGTGGTCTCTGTGTGCTTGCCCGGCTCTAAAATGGTTCTAAATGCTGCTGTTTACTTTACAGGGTTGATTACATGTGTTTATGACTGTGATGTTGGGTTTTAATGCACATAAAATATTTTAGGACACTATTTGTTTCAGAATCTTTTTTTCTTCATTTCCCTTCTCTAAAACCTGGTGCGTCTTATGGTCCGGAGCGTCTTATGGTCCGAAAAATACGGTATATGAAGCAGTCATTTTGGATGGAAAGTCATTTAAAGAATTCCCATTTGTGTTAAATTTTTTTTTTGACTGAATCTTTTTACCTTGAACCGGCTTCACTAGGAGGCTCTTAGTTATAAGAAAATCTAACCATCCTGAGTTTTAAGGATTATTTGAGTGTGCTGTAGAGGAAGTTGTTGAATATATCTGGAGCGCTTTCAAAATAAATTAGAGAAATCTTGTGTTTTTTGCTATTCACGCTAACAGATTTTATTTATTTATTTATTTATTTTCTCACCCAAGGATATGTTTTCATTGATTTTTCTTCCTTTTTTTCTTTTTCTTTCTTTCTTTCTTTCTGTCTTTCTTTCTTTCTTTTTTTTTTTTTTTTTTTTTTTTTTTTTTTTTTTTTTTTTTTTTGTTGCAGAGGGTGGGTTAGGAGGAGGAGAGAGAGAAACAGAAACATTAATGTGAGGGAAAAACATATGCAGGAATCAAACTTGTAACCTTTGGTGTATAGGACAATGCTCCAACCAACTGAGCCAACAGGCTAGTCAGGCCAATTCTACCCGATTTCTTAAAGGAACTCTGGGTTTTGGTTTTGTGATTCCATGCAGATGTTGATGTTACAGTTAGTGGTCATCTTCATCACCCTTGACTGCAGCAGAAGGTGTCCAGTCCCTCAAAGATGGTAACCTAATGTGCTTCTACTATATTTATTCATCATTTATTTTTATTAAGCTTTCTAAAGGAAATTACTCCAGTATTTATATTAGTATTTAGGAGATTGATCTGTGATGCTCTTTGAATTTCACTAAGGTTAGTGTCTGAATGAAGGTAATTGTAATCAAACCGGTTAGGCCCTTGGTCAGCAAACTGCGGCTCGGGAGCCACATACAGCTCTTTGGCTTCTTTTTTTATTTTTTTATTTTATTAAAATATATATTTTATTGATATTTTACAGAGAGGAAGGGAGAGAGAGAGCGCTAGAAACGTCGATGAGAGAGAAACATCGACCAGCTGCCTCCTGCACACCCCCCACCGGGGATGTGCCCGCAACCAATGTACATGCCCTTGACCGGAATCGAACCTGGACCTTTCAGTCTGCAGACTGACGCTCTATCCACTGAGCCAAACCGGTTTCGGCTCTTTGGCTTCTTGAGTGTGGCTCTTCTACAAAATAACATGGCCTGGGCCAGTCTATTTTGAAGAAGTGGCATTAGAAGAAGTTTAAGTTTAAAAAATTTGGCTCTCAAAAGAAATTTCAATCATTGTACTATTGATATTTGGCTCTGTTGACTAATGAGTTCGCTGACTCTGGGCTAGGCGGAACAAAGACTTTTTAATATGAAGGCTATGGCCAGCATGAAGGTGGAAAGAAGGGGTTCAAGGAAAGTAAGAATAAATCATTTTATCTTGGTATCAGTTGGGGGAGGGTGCCCTGGGAACATACTCGCCTTTTGGCTTTTCATTTGGACCTTCCTTTACGGAGAGAATGTGCTGACTGGGTGATATTAGGACCCAGTCTGCTTGTCAGTTTTTCACTGTTAACTTGATACCCTTCTATGTTCTATACATTCCCTTTAGAAACATTCGTCTTTTTTTCCCTTCCTAATTTGCTCAGAATTCATTCCCTTCACACTCATTTTGAAGAAGATGGGAAATAAACATTTGGGTATATGTATCAGAGTAGGAACAGTGGGAGTGAGGCTTTTTCTGCTGTAATGTTGTAATATTTATGTTCTGTTTAAGTTGATAGATTACAGTTTTCATTCTAAGCCCAGTTTTGTACAAAGCTATTCTATTTCTTGGTTGCCGTTGGAGACTGAGGATGTTTCTGACCAAATGATGGGATTTCTGATGAGCTATCTTCATTCCCATCTCAACAGTTATTAGGTTGTACTGTTATATTATCAAATAGGGGGTATTCAGGAATTAGATTTGAAGCCTTCTAGACACTTGACTGCTTCCCTGATTTAAAGTTTTGAACTCAATTGTACTCAATTTGAACTCAATTTAGTGAGCTCTCTGTGACTCACTAAAGGGTAGTGACTCCTAAATGAGCACCTGTGAATTCTGAGTCCAACAAGAATTATTTTATTAAGGCTAATTCACACATAAGCCAGAGATCTTCCTACTTCAATTTACAGCTTTTGCCTACCTCATCTCTCTTTTCTTTAAGAATTGTAGGTTCTCTTTATCCTTTCCATTTTGGTATTCTTGTGTTGAACTCCCTCCAAATGTTTGATGGTTGTATGTGTGTATTGGTCTCTGCCCAGTTCCTTGGACAGATGTCCTAAAACCCTTGTATAATAATTTCTTAAGTGATAAGAACACTAGGAGCATCTTTTGTGCTGTTTGGTCTTTAACATTCTCCCGCCTCCTGCCCCAACCCCTCCTCGACACATACACACCCTTGGTCCCGATACAGGGCACCTGAAAAGAAATCTGTAATTTCATGGGTGATAAGAGTGCCTTTTGTTCTAATGAGGCAGCTCTGGTGGGCTCCTAGATGAGAAGCTTGGAATTTTCGGCCCCATTCCCCCTTCTCTTGAGAGAGGAGAAGGGCTGAAAATAGAGTTAATTATGCCTACGCAATGAAGCCTCCATAAAATTCCCCAAGTATGAGGTCTGGAGAGCTGGTGGACACATGGAGGTGCTGGGAAGGTGGCATGCCTTGTCAGGGCATGGATGCTCCAAGCCCCATCCCACATACCTTGCCCTACACAGCTCTTCCATCTAGATATTCATCTGTGTGCTTTA